CATCCACATGCCACCATGGTCCATAGGCCTGAGTTTTCAATGTCAAAAGGAATCAGGATTTGAAAAGAAACACATTCTCCTTCATTCTGAAACAAAAGGAGCACAGGAGTGATTTCTAGCTCATCTCTGGTGAGTTTCATTCACATATGTAGGATACCTTATTGGTATGTTCACATCATTATTTCCTTAACTGCATGGTTTCCCCACCACACCCCCCACCCCACCCTCCCACCCCCCTATTTTCCAGATTTTGAATAATCTTTTCTGGATTCTTCAAAAATTAGTGTTAGCAAAGCCAGAATTTAAAATACCAGTGCAAAGATAAAAGGGACTTTTTACTGGCAGACTAACATTTCTACTGATGAGATTGTTCTAGATGTCTTACAACATTGCTACAGTGTGCTACACTCGCAACCTTCATTCCTGCATTTCCTATCTATTAAATGACTCTTTGTGATTTCCCCACATCATCTGGTGAATTGTCTTCTACTGTTTAAACCATGAACCAAACCCTTCCACTGAAGAGTAATGCTAACCATATGGAACTGTATCAATCATGCATGGTCAGAGAATCACAGAGCAGCACTCACTTCCATATGCAAACTGGTAGAAACTCTACAGCAAACGATTAAGTTAGCAGACACACAGGTAACTATGATATAAGGGGGAAACTACAGCCATTGTACAGAAGTTACACATCACAAATCTATTAGAGTTCTCTGAAGACTAAAGGTGATCCTGTCCAGAAGGTTTCCAGATTACCGGGGGTAAGGTTTTGTACCCACAGAAATTAAATAGTCACAGAATAGTAGGGAATACTGTCTTCTGCATTAATAGCTGTTTAAAAGGAAAGAAATAAAGGATGAGAATAAATATTGAGTTGGAAATTAATATGAAGGAAACTGTCCTGCTGAACACATTAAGTTTTTGGAAAATAAGATGAAAAGACAAAGTTAGCAAGGATATGAAATAATTCAAGATGATCAAAGCTTCATTATAACACTGTAACACATTTCTTAGTGTTGTGTTGTGGGGCAATTTAAAGACTGCTAACATTTAATATTGATAAATGCAAACAGGGAAAAGCAACTCTGTATTATAAATACACATTAGGCTGTAAATTACCTATTATGTTTGACTTTGAATTTACTGGAGATGATATTAGGAATTCTTGGTAAAGAAATATAGAACACAACATTATGTTACTATGTAAATCTATAGTCTTTCCCTTTCAAAAACAGAAACAGAAAAAGATGAAAAGGTAGAACAAGGATACCAGTAACTTCCATATAATGAGAGATTAACTAGATGCTTCAGTGAGGACAAGAGACAACTTAGGGTATATGAAGTTATAAATAGCATCAGGGAGGTGATTAAGCAATGATTACTCACTTATTTCTCACAGCACAAGAACAAGACAGCACCCAATGAAATTACGAGGCAGCTGCTTTAAAATAAACTAAAGGAAGTACTATATCATACAGCACATAATTAAATAGGGGAACCCATGGGATGCTGTGGAGGTCAAAAATATAAGTGAATCTGAAAAATATTAGACATATAACATAGCCCATCAGTGGCTATTAAATATTATATTCCAGATGAAATTTCATTTTGGGAAGTCTCAACTACTATAAGCTGGGAGAGGGCAAAGTAGAAGTATTGTGCAGTGTTTGCTGCATTTCTTGTACACCTTGCTAAGCATCCACAGTTGTCACTGTCAGAGACAAGAGACCTAAGTAACCTTTTGGTCTGACAAGTTATGACTACTTTTACACTTTGTAGGTGGTCCTGCCCTAGGTAGACAAGGGGGCAACAGACAGTGACTTAACAGTTCTTATGTGCAAATTCATTTATGAATCAAATACAGCAGTGATATATTCAAGCATGGCAGAGTTTAGGAGAGCTTTTTCACCTAAGTGCAGCATACAATGAATGCACTTTCCTGAGCCACTTTGGGTCCAGGAGCATGTTCTCAGTTGCATTTAGTCCTGTCTAATATTCCTTGGGTCCATGAAGTGCCAGTTTAAGTGTCTTTTATAGCAGGGCTTCCCTTCCCAGGGGCACAGACTCTGCATAACTCCCTGCACTGCCGGCTCCCTACATCTGTACTACCCTGTAACCAAACTAGTAAAGCTCCTAAAGGAGGTGCAACAAAGACTGTGTTGAGGAACCATCAAACCAAGCTTTCCTGCTGACAGCTTGGGTATGGAGGTGAAATCTACCTTCTTCTTTTGGGATTGTACCAGCCTTCCATGTGTATAAGCTGTAGAACTGACAGTATTTTGCTTATGTGAGTTAAAGCTAGTAGCTAAACGAGAAAAAGAGCACTGGAATTGAGGAATTCTTTTCAACAGTGACAATCTTCCTCATAATAATTACACTGTTCTTTCCTCCCCTGTTGCCACTCAGCTTCTCCTGCCTCTCTGCCCAGAGTTTTCATCTTGATACTATCTTGCCTTTCTTCTCCAACTTCTGTCCCACCTCATTCTTGCTGATATGCTTCCACCACCACTTCTGTCCTCCTTACCATAGCTCCCTTTGCTTCTGTTCCTGTAACCAACTTTCCTCTAGTTCCCTTCACCAAGCTTCTTCTGCTAACTCACTTCAGAACTGCCATCTTTCTCCTTCTTGTGCTCTTGCTCCTGGCTTTCTCCATCTGTCCTTTTCTCTTTCCAGCTGTTTTCCAGAGCAGCTGTTTCCACTGCTGTACAAAACCCAGATGGCCAATTACTGACATAGACACATGCATGCTCAGTTCCTGTGCCTGGAGCCATGTGATATTCCACTCATGTAGTGGCAGAAATAGATGCGAGTCCAGTCATATGGAGGAAATGTGAAGGGCTGAAAAATGCTTAGGGTCTTCAGAGATGTTATACGTTGACCCCCGAGTCTCCATATGGGTTATGTGTGGCTTTTCCCCCAGAACTCTGGCAGTTGGTCACTCTTAAGTAGTTTCACAAAGACAATGAAAGGCATTTCCTCGATTCCAGGCAACTACCACACCTACACTTGAAGTCACCATCCCAGAGGTACTAGATTTCCACAGTGAAAAGACTTTGAGAATATTTGTAACTCGTGTGTTTAATAAATCACTTTTATTCTGTTCCCAAAAGCAGGTCAGTGGTTTTAGCCCAAGCTCAGCAAGCAGCCTGCCTGTGGTAGACACAGCCCGTGGAAAGTTCCATGCAGACAGATTCAGGCTGGCAAATTTTAAATAACTGGAAAGAGGGACTTCTAATGGAAAATGTTAGGAACCCTTATGCATGGCTACCCAGTCCTTCCAAACTGAATGGTTTCCCTACTTAAACTGAGTATGTGCATGCATGTATGTACACATATATATTTTTATATATATATATTTTCAAACTGGCACACTAAAACAATACTATTAAGAAAATGCTGTTGCTGTTAACTCCTTCCTCACCAACCAATTTTTGCCTGAGGTTTCTAGCACAGTATAAGCAGGACACTTTAAAGATGGAACACTACCTTTTTTAGCCACTACTACAGTTTCAGCTACCACAGTTGACAATTATTTGAAGAAGAGACAATGATGTGCCTATTAAAGAGCCCAAAACCTAGCCCATGAAGACCCTTTGAGGCACTTCAGGTTTTAAGCATGTCAGCAGCACAAGCTGAACAGAAAGCTTTGCAGTGTTGCCCAAGCGCTCCTTGCAACACAACACAACACAGCATTGTCCAGGGCAAGTGCAAGAATACTCCTTTTGCAGAGATAGGATCTTGGCAGAATACCTTTTGAACGGCTCTATTGCACTTACAAGATAAACAGTTCACTTAGAACTCCTACTCCTTTTTCTTCCGCTGTCAAAGAAAAGTCAGTTTCCCCAGATCACATGCATCTGAGTTTCCAGCAATGTGAACTGTAGGCTGAATGCTTGGTAATTCTCCATTAAAAGCATCAGTACTTCTGAGAGCAATGGCTAAAAAAACCCCACCTCTGTGTTAAAACATATATACTAAACCCCTGTTACAGCTGTTTTGGTTGTGAAACTCCAGCTCTCCTGTGCTCGGGACAGTTGCGAGCTGGCACCTTGGCCGCGCAAGTGCCAGGGAAATTAAATGCTTCTGGCTGAGACGGCTCAAGGAAACCAGTTCTAGTTGTGGCTGTTGGTGCGTACCGGGTGGAACCGAACCCCCGCGGTACTGCCGGTACCGCACAGAGCGGGTGCGCGCACCAGAAGCAGGCCCGCCGCTGTCACCGCACGCCCCTTCCCCCCGGGCGCGCTCCCCTCTCTCCTCCCAGTGCCCGGGATGTTTTTGACTTCCCGTAAGCACCGCGACGCGGCAGGGAGGGGGTGCGGGCTCCCTCAGGACAGAGCCGTTGTCTTTCAACTTTGAATCCGGCGGGGGCAAACCGCCGTTATAACGGACCCGCACAGGCGCGGGCTCGGCCGCCTAATCCTAGCTCCCTTCTTCCCATGGGGGTGACGGAAGAAGACAGGAAATCCCCCGGAGATACTGAGGGATCCCTGATCCCAGCCCAGCGGTGCCCTCCAGCGCCAGCCCCGCCCCGCCCGTTACCGGCGGCCCCGCCTCGGCGAGCGCCCCCTGCTGCCCGGCGGGTGGCGCAGCGGGGCGGCGGCCGGCGGGCGCGGAGCGGCGCGGAGCTGGGCGCGGAGGGGCGCGCAGGTGTGTGCAAGGAGGCGGCGAGCCTGTTCGGTTCGGGTGCGGGGCTATGCAGCATGGCCGAGCCGCCCGGCGCGCCGCACCGTACCACCGGCTCCACCTTGCTGCACCCGCTGAGCGGGCTGCTGGGCATCCCGCTGGACCAGGTGAGGCTGTTTGCCGTGCCGTGCGGTGCGGTGCCGGGGAGCGGCGGGGGTCTCCAGGCGCGGCTGTCGCTCCTCGCATCTGCAAAGGAGCTCTGGGGCAGCGCGGAGGCGCCGTCCACCGCGGAAGACCCCGGGGCAGGACCGCGTTCCTGAGGCGAACGGCACACAGCGGAGCAAGGTGGGGGCCGGGCTGGGGTGAGCAGTGCAGCCGAGCCGGGCGGGCTGCTCGTTGCTGCACTGAGAGCTCTTTATTTTCCCCGGCAATGCTTTCCTCTTTCTGTGCCCTTACAAGAAGTCGCTGCTGCTGGATGCTGTTAAGGGACGGCGTTGAGCGAGTTGTGGCTAAGTTTGAAGAGTTTAAATAGTCGCGATGCTTGTCCGCCTCTGGGGTAGCGCGGTGAGTGTATGGGGTCTGGTAGGACATCGTCAGTTTCAGGCTGCAGACTTGTGAAGGAGGCACAGAAGTCTCAGCCTAGTGCAGGTGCCCGGTGAAATTGTAAAGTGCCTGCATGGAGGTAAGCAAAACACACGAGCGGGTGGGCAAGCAAGCTCGCATGAAGCACTTAACAGGACAACATATTTTTGGCTGTGGTGTTGTCAGGTTGTTATTAATCTTGTTAAGCTGATCTCACACAGGCACAAAACGTTGCTCCCCCCCTCCCCTTCATTGTCTCTCTAGCTGGCATGCACCTGCTGCCTTCCTGCATTCTTTCAACAACGAGGAAGTTGGGTCTGGAAGTTCATGCTGACCAGAAGTCTCCAACGAACAGTACTGGGAGGTTAAGCTGTGCTGTAAGAAACCAGGGCAGCTGAGATGTGCTGGTAAAAGCCAACAGAAGGTTGAGTTTTAACTGCCTCCCTCTGTTTGCAGAGTAGCTGGTACTGTGTGTCATTTTTTACTACTGTTTGTTTTTGGAGTAAGAAATATATCATTTCCTAGATTAAACCCCACGTCTAACCATGCCAGTTGTTTCTTTTAAAACAGAAAACAGGTTTTGATGCTAAAAAGGGGTCTATTGCTCTATGTTAAACCAGTCAAATAGTAAAGGCCTATAATTATTTATAAGCTATTAATTTAGAAGGTATGTGATTAGCAATAGCTTCTTTTTTGAGGTATTCCATGCCATGATTGATGAATACAGGAACACTAAACAAACCAGGAATAGCAAACATTTTCTGTTCCAGCTTGTTTGTGATGCCATGGTGTACATACAGTGTTAGGCTGCCTGGGTCACCAAACTATGAAGATTTGATGGACTTGACCTCCTTGTTAGGGTTTGTTGCAGAGCTGCAGCACAACTGTGCTGAAATGCGGCTTTCCTCACCTGGAAATCCCCTTCCCCACCCACTCCTGCTTAATTATCCCTGTGAGAGTATGTTATCAACAATTTAAAGAAGTCTTCCCCACTCCTCTTGCCCCACTGCAATGTGCTGGACCATACCGAGCATCAGGGGTTCCTGCTGCCCTGAAGTGGGAAATACCCATATTGCTGTGTGCAAGTGCTGTGTCACTGCTGTCTCCTCAAGTGACAGGAGTTTCAACCCTGACCTGCAGTGCTAACGCCCTTGGAAACAAAATAAAAACACTTTCACAGGACTCTTCTGCCAGGTGGGTGGTTACTTTGCTCGTTTGAATGAGACAGGGCTTTTGCTGAGGGGCAAAAGTTCATTCACTCCTCTGCACAGAGTGAAGCTCTGCATACTAAAGACTAATTTGCTGGATATGAATCCCACATGGAGCAGGGACTGGTTTTAAATGAGTTCCTTATTTCAATGCCAGCAGATTCTCTGTGCCTTCCACTCAGTGGCTGGGCTGTGACAGAGGAGGTAACCTCTGGTTTGTCACTGTAGATCAGTGTCCTCGCGCTTGGCTTGTTGGATGATAGCAGCCCTCTGGTCCATGGGGCTGGCAGTTCCCTGCGGCTGGCCCTGAGCCTCTGGAAATGCAGAGAAGTGCCCAGAGAGTGAGAAGCAAAGGTGCACAGGTGGAGCTTAGACCCTCTAGGTCACTGTGGTATGTGAAAGTTGTGAGTGTCTGCCTTCTATGGTAAGCACAGGGAGGACTTGTCTCTTCTTCCTAGAGATGATTTCCCATGAGGTCTGAGCCATGAGAGGGATTTCAGTCTATGAGAAGGATGAGAAAAAAAGTTGAGCTGAATGTCTGAAAAATGGAAGTCATTACCCTTTCATAGCAGGGGCAGAAAAGCTATAGTGATGGTCATGGAAGGTGTTTTGCCATCTAATAACCAGCTGTTGTCTCACTCTTTATGTGAAGCATGGGTGAATATGAAAGATGACAATCTTTCACATTGGTGGCTTTCGTCATTTTAAAAATTTACAACTTAGGTTTAAAACCAGCACAGAATCACAAGAGGGTGCAGTTCCTATCTGTGTTGTGTCCCTGCAAGACTGTTCACGTTTTATTTAGTAAATGGTGTACTGCATGAGAATATAGCAGTATTTTCTGCTTTAGATGTTAAAATAATCCTGTCATTCCAGTGCATATTTGCATGTCTCTTTAATGGATGATTTATCTTTGAATTTAGCATTGAAATACTATTTTTTTTTGAGAAGTGCTATATTCAGTAACAAGATTAATGAGCTTGAAAAAGGATGAAAAGACTCTGTGTTCAATTCATCCTCATATCCCAGGAAAGCAGACTTTGAAGTTTAGCTGAACTGCACTCTAAAAATATCTGGCTAGGTCAATGACACACCTCCAGCAGCACTGGGGAAAAAGTTTTGGTTGTGTTTTTTAACCTCCTTATCATGTGCACCCTAAATCACTGGTTCTGGAGTGTCATCCCTCCAGTATACAGTAATTTTTTACAAGGTGTGTATACTTCTTTTGTCACACGCCCTAAATTGCCAATTCTGGGACATTGTCCTCTACCATAGATCAGTGAGATATGGGAATTTAAACATTAAACTTTCAATAGTGTACTCCCTGTAAACAGAGTATGTGTGCATAAACAGAGCAAATAAATAAATGTGCTATTTGAAGGTATATCAAAACTAAGTTTAATGGCACTGTTTATCTATGTGGAGTTTTACCATGACATCCTAAGCTGTAGGCGTCTCTAGAAGTAATTCACATTCAAAGGGTTAAGCCATACTATTTAAAAGTTTCACTTCTCAAGGTTATTTTGCAGTACCCATGATAACCCAGGTTACCTATTGCCTTAGAAGCAGCAGCTCAAATGTAGATGGACAGCTGCCATACAATAGACCTTACATTTTAACAGGTATTACCCTGATGTGTGCCAGACAGTACCAACTCTGCTGACTTTCAGGGAAATATATGCTGTATTTAAGGAGAATCTTCCTCAAAAAAAATATGTGGGCATCTTCTCATGTTTCTACTGGAGAGCTTTTAACTTCAGTATTTTCATTGATGAGGCCCACCATGTTCCTCCAAGCGAGAAAAAAATAACCATTTAAACTCTTGTTTTTGCTGCTTTGGCTTCTGGTTCTATGTCTTACTTTGCATTTTAGTCCTTTCATTGGAGCTGGTCTGCATGTTTATATTTTGGAAGCAGTTTAAATAAAGCACTAACTCTGGGGAGGGACTGTGCGACATGCCTTCGAGTCTTGAGATAGTTGAAGTATGAGTGATGTCTTCCCACTGTTCCCTGAGTTTGAATAGCTCTCTGCCAAAAACATGCTGTTGAATTGGTTTAAATCTCATTTTACAAAAATCAGCATGACTTCTGTTCCCCAAATCAGGGTCTGTGTTCTTAAATTTCATATTTTTCAGCTCTCTTGTTCTCCGACTTCAGTTTTACTTCTGTGCTTTCTGGTTTAGTTAGTCAGCAGATGTGTTAGTTCCAAGCCTCTTTACATGACTTTACTTATCATTTTTTGGGGGCAGAGAAAAGCCAAATAAAAAATTACCTTTCTAGGAACTCCACTAAGCTGGGAATTTTGAGGTTGCTCTAATGGCTGTCAATAGAAGCATTAGAAAATGTAATACTGAGGAAAACAGGTTGTAAATTGAAGCAAGATAACCAAAGACAGAAGTTCATCCAAGACATAAGGGGGGCTAGTATCTGATTTTTACTTGAAAAAAGCTACTCTAAGGCAACAGCAACAACTGTCCATGTTTGGTATGAATTATGCTATGGTTTAATTTCCTAATGTCGGCCATTTTGCAATTGAAAATTCAATGTTTTCATTTTGAGTTGCAGCAGATTTAAAGCCTAACTGCCTGACAACCTCAAATGCAAAAAAAGTAGAGCTGTGTGACTTTTAGTTATTTGAGAAACAGTAAGCAAAAATGAAATTTAAAATCAACATCTTAAAATGCATTTATAGAAAGCTATTACTTAGGTTGCCAAAACCAACTTTAATTTTGATACTTTCTGATTTTTGAGTACTCAGATTTTGTTATTTTCCTTAAAAGAAATCATTTTGCTGTAATGCCATGAAGGACATGGCACTTGATTTAAAGAACAGAGGCATAGTCTTGCTGACCTTGTTTAACTGGGTCTCTAGTTAAACAGGTGCCTGCAAGCAGGGCTGTTCACAGCGCTGGTGGGCTGCATGGCTTTTCTGTGTATTTAGAGCAAATCCACTCTAACCTGTTGCATGTGCTTGTGTAGGGCCCAAATTCTGTATGTTCCTGAGAGAGTCCTGAGACAGAGGTATAGTGCTTCCTAAGGAGTAAGGCTATATCTAAAGTATTTCCCTCTGTTCAGGTCAGCTATTACTGACAATTGCAATAATACAAAATTTCCTCTGACTTGGGAACACATGCTGCCTTCTTCAGTGTGTTCTTACTGAGTTCGGCACTGCAGTCTTGAACCTTATGGCTGATATGTTGATATTATGGGTGTAAATATTTCCACATCCTTCATGCCTTGAAAACAAAGTCTGTTCTATTAAGTTTTTTATTTGGCAAGGGACAAAAGTGCAACTGGAATTGGCCACTTGCAATTTTCCCCCTTTTAAGCACTTTCCTTCTCATTTGTGTTAAATGAGATCTGGAAAAATAAACATTGAAGTGCTGCATAAAGTTTCCCAAAACCTTTTCTGCACATTAATCTCACCAGCACTGATTTAGTGGTGCTTTGCAACCATTTTGAGACAATATGAAGTAGTGACAAAGGTTCTTGGGCTCCAGACTAGGGGTCTAGGCACTGAGCACAGAGCTGGCTCTGTGCTTTCAGAGGAGCCTCTGATGCTTAGGATTTACTATGCATTGGCCAGCTTGGCACAATAATGAATGCCCTGGCTGCTCCTTGGCTCCTGTTATTGTTCACGAGAATGGGCAGCTCCTGAGGAAGACTTGCCAGACTGCAAGTGGTGCGGGTAATTGCCGGGCAGGGGAGACTGCAGTGTTGGCTTGTCATCAGTGTGGAGGTGAATCCAGTCTTTTGTACTTGTCTAAAACTAAAT